ACCATTTGCAACAGCAGGAAGGGACCTACAGAGCATTATGCTAAGGGAAATAAGGTCGTCAGAGAAAGATATCATATGATCTCACTCATTTGTGGTTTATAATATAAAACATAAACTGATGAATAAAAATAGAGCCAGCATCATAGAAGCATAGAACAGACCATCCAAACTAAGAGGGAAGGCAGGGAAGGGGAAGGGGTAAAAAATCAACTGAAGGACTTGCATGCTTGCATATGAGCATAACCATTGGACATAGTAAGGGGGTGAGGGCATGTGCTAGGGGGTAGGGGCAGCCAGGGAGCAGTCAGTGGTGGAAAAGGGAGACTTATGTGATAATTTTAAAAAATAAAGAATTTTTTACAAAAGGATTTCCCAATGCAGGACTCTTGTCCACATCTCTCCCCCCAGCTTTCCTCCTAGCCTCTCCTCACGCACCTCAAGTCTGTGCCTCTCTCTCTGCTCCAAAGCCCCAAGTGAGTGTTTGCAATAGAAAAGTCCTGTGTTCTGGGTTAAGAGCATAAAAGCAAAGACAAAACCAAACCAAAACAATGAAACTGCTCTTTCGTCTCTCCCCATGGCGCTGCTTGGGCCTCCTTTCACGGGGCAGCCTTTTGGGGCTTTTGTCTTTGGTCCAGTTTCCCTGGCAGCCAGCTGCCCTGTGGCTTTTCCTTACACAGTTGGGTGTTACCCATGTTGTAAAGGGATGAAGCTTTGGAGCAACACAGGTTTCTCCTCACCCTCTGGGCCCACTGGCTGGCAGTCCTTCTCAAGCCCACTTCCCAGTTCTTGCCGTTCTCTAGGCGTCCTCTGCCCTTCTTTGTTGTACACTGTCTGCTCAGCTGCATGTAATTTGTTAATACCAGGCAGATGTTCTTCAATTTAATTGTATTTCCAGTCTGGCTCAGGACGAGATGCACAAACCTGTGCCTATTCGACCACCTTTTATTTTATTTTAATTTTTTTTTTTTACCACTTTCTGATCTTTGCTGTTAAAAAAGCCAGAGTGACCTCCCTACAATTCTCAAATGCACAGGGCATGCTCCCTGCAGGCACCCACCTGGAGCCTGCCACCCCTTCCCAGACTTCCTCAGTGAAGACCCCACTGACAAATGCTGGTTTCGCCTTTCCCCATAGCTGCTGTCACCTGTCTCAGGTATCCTGGTCCACTTTTTGTGGACTGTCCTCCACTAGATGCCAGTTCCCAAGGACAGGGGACTCTGTATTTGGGGCGTCTGAAACAGTTGGGCTCAACAGTATCCACAGCCTCAGTCTTTATATGTGTCCCTTATGCCCACCCATTGCTGCTGACCCTCCATCCAGCCTGATTCAAGTTCTCATCCCTACAGCCTTCCCTCGGCCCACCCACCCAAGGAACCTGGCCCATGAGCTGGCAGAAACACGGGTCACAGGCACACAACCTCTCTGCCCCCTCAAACACACCCCAGCAACACACTATTCCCCAGAATCCAGGAACTATCCCCTCATTGCAGGTCTTCCATGCATAGGCAAAACTTAGGGAGGGGCACACCAACCACAACTCATCCTCTGAACGTGGAATTATTATGGAGACCAAGCCTCTCCTGGAAATGCTGGTATTACAGAATGTTCTCACCATGGAAAATATACACCATATCCTGGAGAGCCCATGCTACTTCCAGGACTGGCTGTGCAATGGGGTGGGAGAGTGGCATGCTTTCTTTTTAAAAAATTAAAGTGTAAAATAATCCCTAAAATGAAAAAAAGAGACTCAAACACCAGTGAGCCTCAGAGGTGTGAGTGGGTTGGCTGGAGGCAGGATTTTCTAAAGGTGAACTGATTTGGAGGCCCAAAGCATCAGGGGGATTCTCCCACAGTAGGTTCATTTACAGCAGGCCAGGTGCCTGGGGGTGGGGAAGAGCAGGCTGGAGGGACCACTGGATGGAGACAGAAGAGCCCTGGCCAGCACATCTCCAGCAGACACAGAACCCAAATCCCTCCCAGGGCCTTGCCTGGGCCTCCTCTCTGCCACACCCTGGGAAGGGCACAGTGAGCTCAGCTGCAGTGGGAACATCCCAG